GTACCTTAACCGGTTCGATGACCGGTCCGGTTCTTAAAACTATGCTTTTAGAATGTAAGAAAACTATGAATAATAGAAAATAAATGTAAAAAAACTAAAATAATTTTAAAGCGTATCAACATTGGCTAGCACAAGTGGTAGTAGTTTGTATCTCTTAACCATAATTCCCCACAGAGATTAAGCATTGTTTCTGGCAGTGAATACTTTGTACTTAAATCATGGTTACAAAAAAAAAACTTAAAAATGTTCTAATTTTTATTTAAAAATTAAAATAATATTATTTTAAATGATTTGCATAAAATATTTTTATTAAAATAATTATTTTTATTTATAAAAAAAATAAAACCAAACAATCCTAATTCTCCATTAGTTACTTTACGGTAGGACAATTTCTTTTCAAATAAATTTTAATTACTCTTTTGGTATTTATAATTTCATAAACTTTATCTTTTAGTTTCTATAATTGAAAATAGTTCATTTTCATCTACATATATACCATTTTTGTTTATTTTCGATCCTTATAATTTCATAAATTTTATCATTTAAGTCCTATAAAAATAGACATCAAGGACTACAAAAGAACAAAAATGTGATGTATAAAAACTAAATTGACACGTCTTTAATTATAGAAAATAAAAGATAAAATTTATGAAACTATAAAGACTAAAAATATAATTAAACATTCATGTAATTATCATTGTTGAATACTACTCATTTTGTTGGATCCACCATTAGACTTTCATAAATATAAAGACAAGCATGCTCTCGAGGCAAAAATAAAATAAAATACAATAAATTACACTTTTTGTTGTCTATCTTGCATGATTTTGTAAATTTTGGTAAATAATTTTTAAATTTGTACATTTTGTCATACAACTTGCAAAATTTTACAAATTTTATTATCTCATTAATTGGTCATCTACCATCGCTAATTAACTACTCATGTAACATGTTAATTGATGGTATTACACAATAATTATTGATGTGGATTAATGATGTGACATATATATGATGATATGATATACGTGTTTGTTAACAATTAACATATTATGTCAACCGTCAACATGTTATGTTAACGATCAACAAACAATGTTAGATGGACAACTAAAAGAGTAATAAAATTTACAAAATTTTGAAAGTTAGAAGGTAAAGTTGAAAGGTATAATGCGCAAATATGAAAGTTATGTAACAAAATTTTCATAAACATAAAAAATGAGTGACAAAAAGTATAATGAAGAAAAAAATAAAATTTTCTAAAATTGTGTTTAGCACAACTAAAATTATTATATTTCAGTTATTTTTTTTATAAAAGAAAGTTGTTTGAAAAATAATTTACTTAATTATTTTTTTCTCGTAAAAATTTTACCCGTAAATTACTTTCAAATTTATCACTAGTTTTTTTTTCTATCTTTTTTCAATAGTATAATACTATAACACTCTTAGCATCCTTATGTGTTTTTCCAATCTCGAGTCTTGTTTTTTTAAATCACATCTTGTTTCTATACTTGGTTTTCTTAAATTACTACTTCCTTGGTCGAGGGAAACATCGACATCAACATATATCTTCCCACATTTGTATGTTATTCAAAGTCAATAAAACTAACATCCATTGCATAGTATGATTCAGCTAGTGGAGGAGAAGCTTTGAGTTTCTTTTCAACTAGCTCCATTGATGCTCTGATCTTTATTTATGGAACTCAAAGCTTGAAATAAATTCAAAAATGGTGGAGAGACAAGAGAGGATGACATCCCACTTCAAGTTGAGGATGACCAAGTGGTGAAGAGCTTGCTACAAGGAGAAATTTCTTGATAAAAGTTTAAAAGGAGTAGATTCTCCTAAGAAAAAACTTAGAGCTTTTAAGAGAGAAATTTGAAATTAATTTCATTCACAACTCAAAATTGACAAAAATGTATGTGGAGGAAGCTACATATAGAGTTTGTTAGCTTGTGGTACAAGTTAAACTAACCATGATTACATGTAATCGAGGTTAGTTTAAATTGTAGTTAAGACTACTAACTCTAGTTACAATTTGAAATTTGAATTTTCATCCAAAAAAATTTCACTATCCTAGATCTAGAAGAGTCAATAGAAGCATGTCACATGAAAAGGTGCAAGAAGTGTGACTTATGTCAATATCCTAAATCTAGAAGAGCCAATGAGGGCTTGTCACATGGCAAAGTGCCAAAAGTGTGACTAGGTGTGACACATGTGACTTGGAGTTTGAATGGCTATGAGAACATATTATCCACCATATGGATGTCTAAACATGATGCCTTACATGTCCAATGATGTTCTCATGGATCATCTAAGACCAATAAGCACATATATCATTTTCTAGTTACATCATCCTAAAATATTATTTACACCCCTAAAATAAAAAATTATAAAGAAATAAATTATTACACTAATTGACCCAAAAGTACAAGGTAAAAATTAAGAAAATATTTACAATAAAAAATATATAAATAAGAGAAATTAGACTACTAAAAATAACCCACTCCTCTTGGTTCTTTTTAGACTTGGCCATAGGCATGATGTCATCATGGTATTCTCCATCTGTCTCACTTAGATCATATTCATCACTTGGTTCATCATCTAAATCGCACTCAACTTGTTCACCAACATCGGGTTGCACAACTGGACCACTTAGCCCACAATACTCACCAACTAGATCAACTTATTCATCCTCCTTATTTGGCTCGCATTACTCACCAATCGGTATCCTTAATTGGACTATCCTCCATATTTAACCCATTTTTCTTACTAACATGGGCTTGCTCAATTGGATTGTCCTCCATATTTTTCCCACACTACTCACCAACATGGGCTTGCTCAATTGGATCAGGTGGCCCATTAACTATTTCAGGATGCTAAAATATTGGATGCAGAACTAACTACATTTCTACTAGTCTTTTCCAAATCAACCATATCCATTGCTCATTTGTCACCAACCAACACCCTAGCCCAAATATGATAATTCATGTGATTCACTTGGATCATGATATCAAATGCTAATAACTTTCACATAACCCATCTCCTTCAAAATGTCTAAAATCTCAAAATAATTCCACTTGTTGAAGTCACATTTCCATGTGGTCACATGATCTAAATAGTCTAAGGTTTCTCTATTAACAAAATTTCCCCATAGTGGACAAAAACATCAAAATAACTATTCATAATAACTAACAATTCTATCCCAAATTATTAAACCAATTTAACACATTGGACTTAAACTAATTAAATAATCCATAAACCACACATATTAATTTCACAATCCCTTAACCAACCATAAAATTAGTTAAAACATTAGGGTCAAAGTCCTTAATAATTTCATAACTACACTAATTACACAAAGACTAAATCATATCAAACATATTAATTCAAGATAATATATGCACAAAAATTAGGGTATGAATCAATGCGATAAAAAATAATCAAGTCAAAACACTAGGTTTAACTTGTTCACAAAAATAATGTTAGAATAGGAAAACATAAAGAATACAACCCATATATTATGCTTTGGGTCAAAAAATAATGGCATCTTCAATATAACCATGGACACAAGGTCAAAAATAAAGAAACAAAAAGAAAGCAACAACATAAGCAAAATTCACATACCCTTAACATTAAAAAAAAAGTAAGGTTAAAACAACAATTTGCATAAGGTCATAAATAAATAAACAAGCAAATAAGCAAATGGGTCTACCTCAAAGTGAAGCCTTAAACCCCACAACACACATATCTCAAACATGTATGAATATCACATACCCACAACATGCATAGGGTATTCATATACACAACTTTGTCATGAGACTAGAGATATAAAGTAGAATCAAACAAATATATCCTTTACCCACCATGTGTTAGATCACACACTCAAAGCCCAATATAAATGTGGCAACATGTGATTGCAAACCCCAAAATATTAAACATGGTAACAATGTGTGACCAAAAATCCCAAAACATCAAAATATAAAAATCTTACCTTCAAAAGCACCAACCCTAGTCACGGATATGTGAAAGTAGTACTATATTTATGAACGATTGTTGTGTCTATGTATCAAATACATTTTTAAATAACCAAATAAATTTCTTAATAACCAAGACACTCAAGGGACATTTGGTATATGAAAATTTTTTTTATACTTGAGAATTATGAATCTCAAGAATCATGATTCTTAAGAATGATGAAAAATTGTTTGATTAGTCATAAATATTTCTATGAATGTTTATAAATTTTACATGGAAATCAAGGATCTTTTACTAAATTAAATAACCAAATAAAGGTAACATGACACATTTATCACATTAAAACTTTATTTTTATCTTGAAAAAGTTAGTTTCCCACCTTTTCATGAGAATATTTTCGTGGAAAATTATGCAAAAACCACTCATAGGAAATAATGTTTCCTACAAATATTATTTTTTTAAATAACAAACCAAATGCGATAAACTAATATTCTTGACATTAGATTCTCGAAAAAGTAAAAAAATTTCGTGTACCAAATGTCCCCTTAGCCTAGTGGTTGTAAGGCTTGTCTTGAGACACAAAGGACCGACCTTATGCTTCTAGTATTCATTATAATGCTTGGTTAATGAAAGTCACACTACATGAGCGCAAATTAATCCTCATCTTTAGTGATGGATTTTGAGCTCCTTTTATATAATAATAATAGACTCAAATATATAAGCTCATTATATTCCACTTGATCAAGTGATAAAAGTCAATTAGGTTTGTATGAGTGACTTATTATTAAGAGAGAGCAACAATAAACATAGAGAGAAAATCATTATGCCTTTTCTCATTCCCAGCAAGCAACAATTTTTAGATTGCAACCAGAGATTATTTCAAACTTAAAATTATACTTTGAATTAAATATGTAATTTAATTCTTAATTTTTCTATTTATAATTTATTTCTTTTTTTATCTTATTTATATAATTATTGAAATATAATATAATTTATTTATTAATATAATTATGGGTTGATTCGGATGGCAAAAGCAGGTGTTATGAGGAAGGAGTGAAAGCAGAGAGGAAAGCAAAAGACAGTGAAGAAGTGTGTGATAGAAATGGCGTTGCTTTCCAAGGTATCATCCTCACTTCTACTATCTCCCAAACGCACCATCACCAACGCGTTTCTGCGTTCTCCTTCTCGTTCGTCCGCCACCACCGTCACAAAGAACAAGAACGCAAAAGCTGCGTTGGCCAAGGAGAAGCGCAGGACGCGTTCCGACAAGCAATTCGCCCTAAATGAGATGACCACCAACTCCTCTCACATTCCCGTCATGCTCGCCGAGGTCCTCGACGTCTTCTCCGCCGCCCCCCTAACCTCCTTCGTCGACTGCACCCTCGGCGCCGCCGCCCACTCTGCCGCCGTCATTAGGGCCCATCCCGAGTTGAGCTTTTTCCTCGGAATGGACGTCGACTCTGCCGCGCACCACCTCGCGCAGCCTCGCCTCGACGCCGTTTTAAGCGGCGCTGAGGTCAAAGCGGTCACCGTTTTGAGGAATTTCAGACATGTCAAGTCTGTGTTGAGAGAAAGCGGTGAGATGCAATTGGGGGTTGATGGCATCTTAATGGACTTGGGAATGTCCTCTATGCAGGTTCATTCCACAACTTTATAGCCTTCACTTATTTACCTGCAATATCTTTTTGGGTTATGTTATTGGGATTTATTTGAAGGATATATGTTGGGATGCAAGCAAAGTCTCATGTCGTTCAAACAAGAAGATGTACGTGAATTTATATACACACAATTGTTTCTATTGGTATAGAGGCTTTTTGGATGGTGTCCAAAAACAAAACCGTGAGGGCTTGGTTCAAAGCGGACAATATCTTACTAATGTGGAGACATGTGTATGTGTGTGGTAACACCCCCGATGCACAATAATATACTTATGAGATATTGTTCGCTTTAAGGTTAAGCTCCACAAAGATTGTTTATGTTTTATAAACTGATAGTTGGTGCTAACATGATTAATAAAGGATTTCATTAAATGACATCAAGTATTATTGAGGTAAAACCCTATTTTCGATTAAAGAAAACACCAATAACATTTTTAGTACTATGTAAATTTTGGGTCTGTTTGAATAAATTTTTCCAAAACAAAAATACTACCAGGAGAATAAAATAGGAAGAAAAGTTGAAAGAAGTTTATTTACTAGCTAATAAAATTAGCTTATGAATAAATTAAAAATAAGATTTGAAGAAGCTAATAGAAGAGAGCTTCTACAAATTATGTTATACCAAAGCTAATTTTAGCTTAAGGAGAGGTTTATTTCATTTTTCTTTCTATTTTTGTCTACTAAAAGTGTTTTCAGAGAAACTTACCTAAACAAGTCATTCGTCCTACTCGTCTGGACTGGTTCAACTATCTAAGTCACATCGGTTCATACAAGTACCATATATTTCTGATTTAGTTATATCACCAGTTCCAACCGGTTGATTCAAGCTAATTTTTATACCATTGGTTCCATTCATCATGGTTTTAAATTGCAGTTGCATTAGTTGTTAAATTATAAGGTTATGGATCAAAATTTAGAACTATGATATGATGCTATCAAATGGCACTAGAATTCATGGTTGACTGTTTTGAATCTTTGGTCAAGTCTGGATAAAGTTTTGTTTTTTTTTTTCTGTGTATTTTTTGTTTTAGGTGGACGATCCTGCAAGAGGATTCAGTGTGCTCAATGATGGACCCCTTGATATGCGGATGGATCCTCAGGTATAGTATAAGGCATTTTGGTCTCGGTGTGAAATTTGTACTCTTTTGAGGAAGAATAGAGTCAATAGATATGATCGTAACTGTTGATTGTTTCTAAATTATATGTAATGTTGTTGAAAGTTGCCGGTATGACATCAGACAAATTTTATTTAACATTGTCTGGTGATTTTCTTTGTAGTCTCTTTGTTTAGTTAGGGTGGTTAAATCCAAGACGTACACTGCTACTCTAGAGAGAGGGATTCATTTTAGAGGGAAAGTGTGGAGTTATAACCATCGATTGGAATTCAGTGTCTTACATGGCTTTCTTTAGTCTTTCTTATTAACGAAATGTGCCTAGTTCCTCTTATACCACACAAATACTTTTGGTAATTAAGGAACACAAGTTTCTTGTGTAATGATATCCAGTTGTCCGTTTGCTGCAGAGTAATACATAATTTTTCTTTCCTATTGAACTGATGGACAGGCCTGTGACAGGCAAGTCTTAAAGCAGAAGACATATTAAATTCCTGGCCAGATTCTGAAGTGGGACGCATCCTAAGGGAGTATGGGGAAGAAAGTAATTGGCGAACTCTGCAAAAGAAAATTGTTGATGCCCGGTTACATGGCGGGTTGCATTCGACAAGTGACTTGCTAGATCTCGTTCGGCGTGTTACACCTCCAATGAGAGGTAGCTCCTTCTCCAGTTTTCTTTTGCAGTTCTGTTTTCTGGTTCTCTTACACTAAAACTATCATTTCTATTGCATGTCATTAATTGACTCTCACATATGTTCCTGTTATGTTCTCTACAATGCCATTCCTTATCTATTTGCCAACATTTGAAGAGGATTTATAACATGACTTTGCACTTGCTTACATTTTTCTTCATTGTAATTATCTATATACAAATTTTAATTACTTTGTAATAGGTGGAAGGCAAGGTTGGATAAAGACAGCAACGCGGGTGTTTCAAGCTCTGAGAATCGCTGTTAATGATGAACTGAAGACACTTGAGGATTCCCTCTATTCTTGTTTTGATTGCCTTGCACCTGGGGGTAGGCTTGCTGTCATATCTTTTCATAGTCTAGAGGACAGAATTGTGAAGCAGACATTTCTTGATATCATTAAAGGGAGCGAAGATGTGGACGGAAGGGATTTGAAGAAGACTAGTGATGAAATCAAAGAAAAAGAAACATGGATAAAACAAGTAATACATGGATCAAATGGAATAATTCTCACAAAAAGACCAATCACGCCGTCAGGAGAAGAAGAAAAACTGAACCGCAGAAGTAGAAGTGCAAAGCTTAGAGTTATTCAGAAGCATTGAAGTTAAAACATGACAATTGTTGTCTGGTGTAGAGCCCCTAGAAATATTTGTATTCAGTCCTACATTTCAACCTTTAGAGAAAATAGTATTCACAACTTTTCATTAAAAGAAAAAAGATCAAAGGCGATCTGCACATAGGTTGCAAATTGCCTAATGACTGTCTGTATTTATGATTTCTAGCAAATTATTAACTAAAGATTTAAATTTAGTAATTCATCTGGTGAAATTTTGAATATTGAAGCAGTTTATATGCACGTATTTCTTGAAGTCTTAATAATAATTGTAGCATAAGTGTCGTGTGAGTTTTAACTAATGCTATATGAAGTGTTTGGTTTGACGGGGGAAGTCTAATATGTTTGAGATTTACATTGTAAAGAAAAAAATTGTTACCATGATTTTTTTTATCCACTATAATTACATTAAAAATATTAGGGCTTGAACATAGAATTATGAACATTTTATGTTCCAATCTTATCGATAGATCGATTTTAATGATTTTGTTACAATGAATTTTAAATATTTTAATTCTAATTTCAAGTTCAATCAGATGATTTACTAATTGTAATTTATAAAACTTTAAAAATAGAGTGGACTCATTTATATTTTTTATTTTTTTAATAAAGTTATCAAAAGTCATTACCTCAAGTAGTCTAGTACTTGTTTTTTTTAATTAAAGACTAAATATCGTCTTGAGTATAAAGTTATGACTAGAGATATCACTTTATTCTTATAAAGATTGATTAGATGAGAAAAATTTAAATATCTTTATCAAAAAAAAAAAAAATTACATTGACTTTTTATGAGGTCTTTTTAAATGATACACATCTCTTTTATTTATTTATTTATTTATTTAAGTGATACATACAAACACTTATATAAAATAAAATTATTTGTGCATTATTAAGAAAAAAATTATTAATACAAGTGCCAACAATTAAATGAGCTCAATTTTAATTTCCAAATTATGTTCTAAATATTATGTGCATGTTGTAATTTAAAAAATATACTAACTTCATTAAACAATTTTAAAAGAATGGACTAAGAGATTATTATTTTCAAAATTGAAGAATAATGAAAATTTTCATAAAGAGAAATAACATACATGATCATAAATAGATGATAGATACCTATATGAGGTGAATTGACTTTTTTTTTTCTCATACTTTAACTAATAACATTATTATAAGGGAGGCAATTGATTTTTAAAAAATTAGAGAAGAGATATGTATTTTTTAAAATAGATCTCAAGAAAAGTTAGTACAATTTATAAAAAAAAACAAATAATAAAAGTTAGAACCTATTATATATATATATATGATTTGGTTTTAAGATTGGTGGTTATTACGAGGCGTTACGTGTAGTGAAAAGTATTATTTCTCATGTCTATGTTTAGTTTTCTGAATTACTTTAAGTAGAATTATAATAGATATTTAATTATTTACGATAAAAAAACTTTTTTTTACATCTTTAATAACAAGAATAAGGATTAAATTAGAATGTAATAATATACTATTTAGCTATGAATTGTCGAATAGAATAAATAATAATATAAAGATATAAAGTGTGTATATATATAATAATAATAATAATAATAATAATAATAAAAATAATAATAATAATAATAATAAATTTGTGGATATTTATAATAACTATTTTAAAAGTTTTATTACAAATATCTTTTATTAATTGAAAATAAAAATTGATATCGAGGGTAAATGTTTATTAAACTCTTATTATATATAAGATGTTTGTTAACTTCAATAATTATTATTTTAAAAATCCGTACATTCAACCTAAAAATATATGAAAGTTAAATAATAACAGTAATAAGAAAAACTAAGAAAAAGGAAGTATTTTCTACTTTTATATATTTAGTTAAAATAATTAAATTTGTGGGTTGGGAGTGAGTGATTCGTGGATAGTTATAAAGTAAAAAATGTCTTGCCCAAAAAACATTATAGATTATAGGAAACAATAAAATAAAAAAAAAAACATTAAAAAGTGTCTCCTTTAAGATAAAGAAGTGATTGATGTCTCTTCCAAACAAATGGCAAGAGTAGAGTTTTTGCGGTTAAATAGGAACCTGTAGTTCCCGTTACAGGTAGCTCTCAATCATCACTGACACAATTCCTTTCCTTTCATCTTGATCTTACAAACCCAACAACACATTAATAATGGGTCACTTCCTCTCTCAGTTCTCTTTCTCTCTCTTTTTAGCCAAATTAGACTTTCTATTAATCCTTCATCCTTGAATTTTGCAGCAAAAGCAATCCTTTTGAGCACCAAATGGTACGCACACCAACAACACTCCTCCACCATGCAAAAATTCACCCACGGGTTAGCCTAATAACTCTCTCCCATACTAGTGCCAATACCATTGTATTAATATTAGTATTAGTATCTTAACATTGTTGGAATAGTGACTTGTGTTTCTTAATCAAATTGTTCAATTTCGAATCCTCAACTTCAGAATGAAATAGACTATGTTGGAAAAGAAATACTTACTTTTGTGTGCCCTTATAATCTTTGATGTAGATTAATCACTTCTTTAGGCAGTTGTAATAAGTGTTGATTTTATATGCTTCTTATGTATACGTTTCTTTTTCTTTGTGTGGGAGACCCTCCTTATCCGTGAACCACATTGACCTTCAACTCATCCCAGTTCAATTTCGTTAACTAGGGATAAACTTTTCTTTTTACTATCATCAAATCTTGTATTACATCTTGTTTGTGCTTTGTTAAAGAGGTTAGACAAGCAATTGTTTGGTTATTGAGAAAATGGGCTATGCTATGAGAGTGTAAAATACTGTCATCTTGTCATAATCAGCATGTATGATGAATTTATTGATTTTTACAATAAATGAATAAAATTTAATGCCAACGGTAAATCATAATTGGTTGACAGTGTAGCGTATAGCCATTAAAAACATTACAATAGCATCCCTTGTAGTTTCTTGAGATTGCACACTACCATTTTAACAACTAGATTAATTCTCCTTATAGAGGTACACAGTATAATGTTTCTTGAGTAGTAGAGTAGTGGAGTATCGGTGTCGGTGTGATTTATTTCAAATAATTAGGAGTGTTAATATAGGAATTAAAAAGACCAGGATATTGTGTGCAATCTCAAGAAATCACATGGAGTGTTAGTGTAATTTGCTTCTTTTTTTTTATGCTTTTTTTTTCAGTTGGTTGTGTACCTCAAATGTAGTAAATTGTGATCTTCTCTAAGAATTGTTAGTTCTGGCTATGAATTTTAACTTTTAGGAAGAAAATGGACATCAAGGTGAAGGCAGTAACTTCCTTAGATTCAAATGCAAAGAGGGCAAATTTGTTTGCAGCAAAAAAGGAGAGAATCACGCTGCCAACATATAGTGATGATCTTGAAGGCAAGAAATATCACATCAGTAAATTTCTGAGCCACCCTAGTGGAATTGCAGCTGTGTTGAACACGAAGGCCTTGCAATCATTTCAACCTCTTGATGCTAACACATACAGGTCTGCCACCTCCTTAATTCTGTTTTGGTGCCTTGAGTAGTTCTTTCAATGGTTTGGATAATGCAAATATTGTTACTCATCTTGATCGGGACATAAAATTAGATTTAAGGGCCAGATTACAAGCTATGGTGCTCACCTAATTCTGCTAAATTTAGCACTAACGATACAAATGAACATAACAGATCATGCATTGAATTTTGCTCAAAGGGAACTACCCAAAATTATTAGATCTTTTATAAATTTGAAGTATTTATTATTTATGAAGAACATGTGTAGATAAGCAGCTGATTTGCATGAGTCCACAAGAAAGTGGAGCTGTTTCTTAAATTTTGGTGCTTACACACTACCTACCCTTAAATGAAATGGTTCAGCTGATGAAATCAGTTGCACTATATTCAAAATCGGTTGAAAATACTAAGCGTAATATTGCAGTGCATGATTATATAAAAAACTGTCATAAGCTCCTGAATTTTAGACACAAATACTTCCTTTTCCGAATGCTTTTATGAAATTTGGTACATATCTTAATGCACTTGGTTTGAAGCAGAAGTATGAATCTGGAATCAAACAATTATTCTTGTATGTGTAGGTGTGAACTGCCTAAACTTCAATTTTTAAACTTTGAAGCTGCCCCATCGCTGGATCTGCGGGTTACCTCAACAGATGAAGATTGCTTGGTTGAGATGCTTTCTTGTAAGGTGTGCCCCCCTCCTCAACCCTAAAGTAACAAAATGTTTGGTTCATGATGTAACAGCTTTATTTTTTCGTGAGATAAAGCCCCTAAAAACACATTGCTGTCATGTATACATTGTGTTACTCTCCCACCACTTTTAATCCTTACACCTAACTGCATTTGTATTTCTCCTCTCATAAACCTTGGCCCAACACTCCAACCCATTCTCCTTTTCCCCCTTATCTTATACATGTTTCAAAGACACATCAATCTTATACCCTATCCACTTCCAGATTAATGAGTATTCATTATGCACAAGGTAGTCAAAATCGAGATCTTACTCAAGATCGCAAAGGGAAGTATGGATCGTAAAATGGAAGATCGTAACATGGATCGTAAGATCCTACAAAGCTTATGAAATTCATATATGCATTGTAGTAAAAAAAAAACAGCTTCATCTTAGTAAAAAAACAGTAAAAATTCAACTAGATAAACAAAAACCAATGATATTTATATAATATAAAGTAGTAACTAGTAAGCCAAATTGCTAATATATATTAAAAAGTAAAAATCCCATCCTAGTTATAAAACTGTAACTCTTTCACATTGTTCCCAATTACAAAATAGTAG